CAACAAACTGAGGAGAAGAGAGATAGGAGAGCACTCTGCCCAAAGACCAGGATAGCCCAGGCGGCACATGAGCAGGCCAGAGGTGAAACAACGCCCAAGACAACTTGGGAAACGGTGCAGAAGTAACAACAATACCGAAAGCAAGCTGCAGCGGCTCCACTAACTCTGCAAGATACGAGGTGACAGTATTCTCCATAAGATGCCGGTCCTGAAACAGCCATGAGAGAAAAGACAAAACAACCTTAACAGAAAGCAAAGTACAACGACGAAGAGACAGAAAGAACAGAAAGGACCGCCAGGAAACGTCATACTGCCACCGAGACGAAGCCTGCAGGTGGGACACCATCAAAGAAGCCACGTGATAGACTCGAGTCAAAAAGACCAAACGTGAAGACTTGAAGAAAAGAGCGAACCAGTCTCATAACGGACCAGACCGATCTGCTGAAAGAGGCGGAGCCGTGAAAAAACCTCCGGGTTCGGACACCGAGCAAGCAGCGCCTGAAACCAAGGCTGGGCTGGCCACCATGGGGCCAAGAGGACAACTCTCCCCTGGTAAGTCTCCAAGTGAGCTAGGACCTGGAGCAATAACTGAACCGGGGGAAAGAGGTATAGGAACCCCCCCACCTCGACCAGTCCTGCCGGAAGGCATCAATCCTGACAGCCTCGCGGTCGGGGAAGGGCGCCGCATATTCCGGAAGATGCCTCAACCACGCTGATGCAAAGAGGTCCACCTCCGGGCGCCCGAACGTCTGGCAGAGCCAACTGAATGAGTCAGAGTTGACTATCCATTCTGTGGACAAGGGGATGAACCGGGACAGGCTGTCCACCGGGACATTGGATACCCCTCTGCATGTGAACCACCCGGAGAGCCAAACCCTGAGAATGGAGCCGGATCGTCGAGCTGCTGGCGACCCGAACCCTCCGAAGCGCAAACCACACCACTGTGAAATCCCGCACCGTGCTGTGGGCCCGACTGAAGGACGGACCCACCTCCCCTGGCCGGCCTGGTGAGCACTGGTCACACTGCCCCAGCCGAGAGACGGCGTGTCCGTGAACACATCAAGCGAGGGCTCGGGCAAGCACCAAGGCACTGAACCCCCCAAAAAACGTCGACGTAGCAGCTGACGCAAGGCCCCCGGGGGTCGAACCCAGTGATCACGAGAAATGTGGAACGTGGCCACCACGACCCGGGTAAGGCGTGCAAACACGAGCGGTGCCAGGTTCAACCCAAACGGGAGACAACGAAACCGGAAACTTTGACACCTCACAACAAAACCGAGCCAGTTCCTGAACCCTGGATGAATCGGGACATGCCAATATGCGTGGGTCAGAGACAGGGACAGAGTGGTCATCTGAAAGGAGAGACAAGAAACCCAAGGATTCAAAGGGGATAAGTCCAGAATGAACTGCAGATCCGCACAGTCCCGTTTGGGAACTGGAAACAGACGTGATACCCACCTGAGAGACGTTGATTCGACCATGCCCAAGCGTACCCACTCCAAGATGATCCGACAGAGTGCAGCAGAAGAGGCCTGCCTCGCCAGCCCCGAACCCTCCAAAGGAAGAGGAGCCACCCAACACCACTGCAGGCCATGAAAAACTACCTGAAAATCCAACAAATCATGAGACCAGACATGAGCGAACAGAGCCAGCCTCCCCTCCATCGCCCCGTCAATGGGGCGAACCGCTAAAGGACCAACGCCCCTTACAAGAATCCGACCTGTGCCTACAGAGCGATCACCGCGCTGACCAGTCGCAGACAGTTCTGAAGGCAGCGCTGGCTCTGAAACTGGCACCTGTGGCCTACTCTGACGAGTGGAACCCCGAGCCCTAGCACGACCTCTCCAGAAAGAACCCACCTGAGACCACTGGAGAACCAACAAATCAGATATCGGACAAAAACTGGACGAGGCCGCCTGCATATGTTACTCGACCGCAGAGTCCACAAACAGCAAACCAGGGCCCAAGTAGATTCCAAGGACGAGCACTACCTGCCGACACACGAGACGCGCAGCGAAAAACGAGCACGAGCACCTGAGACTAAGGCACCAGACCCAGGAACGGCCCCAAGCACCTCAAAATCCTCCGCAAGCCAATCTGAAGACAGCTCCAGGAGGGAAAAGAAAAGCAAGACCGAAGCCAAGATGCCCCGAGCGGGCAAGTCCTCAGCCACAAGCGCAGGTGGAGGGTTATCTTTCAACACCACATCGGACAGGTGTTTGGGAGCCAGAGGTGCGTGCGCCACCCATGGTTGCTCATTCAGTACTAACTCAGCCAGCAGCCCTAGGGCATTCTGGGAATTTTTTCCAAGATGGCTGCCTCTCACTGGAGGTCCTAAGAGTCCATTTCATACACAACCAACTTCGTACACATTTAGAATTGGTACCGAAAAATCAAAAAGAGTTTTCTCTGTTGGCGCAGTTTCCCGCCGACTGAGAATACTCAGTTGGCGCAGTTAACACTTTGGCGTACCTCGCGCGCCACCCTTCAACTGTGCGATATGGGACCCAGGGTGTCACGGGAGCGCGTGTAAATTCTGAAAAGTGTATACTCTCTTCAACTTTGTCACCTTAATTCTCGTCCTACGAGATTAAATTTGGTATCATTGTGTTCACAATAGAATTCTCTACAGCACTAAATGCATATAAACTCCAAAAGCCTGGCTAATTACCCACAGCAAACGGAGAAAGTGCGAATGAGTTACCCAGGAGCGCGCAAACACAATAAAATGTTTTCACTATTTTCACTCTGGTCACCTCAATTTTTGTCCTAGGTCTTTCATTTTGGTCTCAATGGGTTCGCAATAGAATTCTCTAGAGGAACATTAGTGTATAAAATAAAAAACCTGGTCACACTCCAACCGCCGACGAGTTGAAGACGGGCCACGCGTTAGCCGCGAGTGAGCACTCAGACGCCTTCCAGCTACACTCCCAATTCCCTTCCTTTTCAAGCCTTTCTTTCGCAATTTTCTTCCTGAAAGGGCCTTGCTCATGATCACTATTCATCGTGGAGTAAGCGTAGATAGTTTCTAAAGCCGCAGTAAGAAATATAGCCACGGAAAATAGACGAAATGTTCACACGTTTGAGATGTGAGGGGAGGCGACATTGGTCACAACAGTGGAGCGAAAACAATGGGCCAACGGCGTGTGCCAAGCCACCTGAGGGCCACGAGGCTCAACAAAGAAAATGGGAAGACATCGGCGCACATTTAAAAACCAGTCCCAAAAAAATCGGATAAAAACCTGATTTTTGGCGATTATTTAAAGTGGATGACGCAATGCTGCGTCATCCCCGGTATTACCGCCAGTAAACGGATGACGCAATGCTGCGTCATGCCTGGGCGAAAGTGTTAAGTGGTTAAAAAACATGGAGCAGCCTACCTGCCGAGCACCGAATGAACCTTTAGCTATGAGACAAATGAAAAAAAATATTGAACAAATTTGAAGAAAGAAAGATGTCATAAAGGTTTGTTCAGTGTATGTAAGGTAGGCTGCTCCATTATTTAAAACATTGAATATCATATTGATGTTTTTCTGTGGTAGAACGTATTAATTTGATTCCCATTATTGTCAATGGGGACATTCGTTTTGTATGACGTCCGTTTCATATGACGATCACGGCGCCTGAACGGATTAAATTCGTTATTCGAGGTACCACTGTATTTATATAATAAAATGTGTAAACTATCTCTGTACTCAAAATTATGGTGTGCATATTAGTGATTCAATTATGTTCATAAAACAATAAACAAATAGTTTTGCTGTTATTACACTATATACACAGGTTATATATAAGTATCTGCCTGTTTTGCTCACCATAACGAACCACTAAGTTGGTATTGTGAATCAAAATGCAACGAGGAGTGACCGCCACACACTATCCAGCCACTCACTGCCACTCCCTCCCTTAACAACACCTCACTCACCCTCATTCTCCTCCCACAATACTGTTCTTGCATTTATTCACTATACACAGAAGTTATATGTAAGTAATTACATGTTTTGTTCACCATAACTGTACATCTAAGCTTGTATGGTGAGTAAAGGCAATAAGACGTAGCTACTCACACAGTCAGCTGGTGGCAGCCTCCCTCAAGGCCAGACGCACTAATATTTCTCCTCCAACAATATTGTTTGTGATGTTATTACGCTATATACACACATTATATATAAGTATCTACATGTTTTATTTACCATACCTGTACAAATAAACTGTTATGGTGCCCAAAGACCATAGTGGCCACCAGTAAACAACATGACAAGTTGTGCAGACGACGCACCTCCCTCACCAAAATGGCGGCTTCCAACCTACTCCTATTGCTGTTATTACACTCTATACACACACGTTATATATAAGTAACTTCTCCTCAGGTGAACACAAATGGTGAATATTTGTGTTCACCATAGCGAACCACTAAGCCGGTATGGTGAGTGCAGTCAATAAAAGGTGGCCACACACAGTCAGAAGACGACGCCACCACCCTCCCTCCCACAGCCTTACTCCTCCCTCCATGGAGCACAGCGCTAAATATCACCATAATCCTGCTATTATCAGAATCCAGGTCAGTTTTATCACAGTCAGGGGTCTTCTGTAATAATATCATCGCTAAATAATAGCATGAACATATATATTTTGACATTTTTAGGCGATGCTGTGGTCACAAGCTGAACAGCAGTGCTGTGCGCTCATGGTGCATGCATCAGCCTTGGTGGCTCGCTCAATACTGAAGCTCTCACACCCAGGAATGTTGGCCACGATTTTTTTTCTAGGTGGCGTCTGTCAACTATCGGTCGTGGCTGCACTATAGCTGCCCCTATCCCACGCGGGGCGTTTAAATTAAGGCGCTAGACACTAAAACAGCTATTAATGTATTGTGCTGTTCCTGTTTTGTTTCTCAAATCATCTATATATGTATTGTGCTGTCGAAGGGTTAAGGCTATCTCATATAAACAGGTGGAGAATTTTGTTGTTACTAATAAAGCTTTTTTAATTTTCAACAGAGCCCCTACTTTGGGAGCATGTTCTCAGGAAACTGGTCAGAAACCAACCAATCTCGGATTACAATTGAGATTCTCGATGACAATATCAATATTGATGGTAAGTGAAGTTAAACATGTAAACCATTTGCTGTACTGACATTGACTTGTACTTCCTCTACATCTTTCTCAATAGTGTGTTATGATTTACAATGTTGTGCACAGTGAGTACTCTACCAGAAAATAGTACAGTACTCGTTAAAAACAAGTTACTGGTGTTAAGAATAAAGTCATGCTAGACAATTTTTAGATAACTTTCATTAGGAACAAAATCTATTTTGGTAACTAAAAACTTGCAGTGCTGCTATGCTTTTATAAATATTTAAACATTTCTTGCATGTATATACAAGATTGACTAAAACAGTAACTATCATTTCTGTTGATCCTGCAAGTTCAGAAAATGTATAATTTCTGGTTTAATTATGACTGTATGTGTGTGTGTATGTCAGCCCTTCACCTGGCACTGGGTCAGTTCTACAAGGATGACATTGAGGTGGAAGCTGCGCAGGTGATTCCTCTCCTTGCGACTGCTCTTCTTCTCCAGATGGATCCGCTCATCGACCAGTGCACCTGCATCATGCTCGAGACCATCAACTTACAGGTGTGTCATCAACCCTTTCTCAATTAATCTACAAGTGTGCTATGAGGCCATCAACCTTTTTGTTTACTAAGCCCAGTTTCCAACCCTTGAGCTTTCACCTCGAGTCTGTAATGTTTCTATAAAAGAGAATGTCTGTCTCAAGTTGCAGGTCAGATACTTGATGCTAGATTGATTCATCCAAGATTGGGCGAGGATTTAACTGACGGGAGGACACAATGACCAACAACAGTTCCTGGAGGAATGTAAATGTCGGGTGCTTTAGTTTGCTGTTGTGATTTATAACGCTGTGCATAGTGAGTGCCGGAAACTGACGGGAAGACACAGTGACGAACCAGTAGATTACAATTATGTTACTTTAGATTATTATTGTTATTTATGGTCATATGCCCATATAAAATGAGTACATTTTCAACATTAATTATATGCCATCACCTGTAATTTTCCTTACCAGTAACATGGTAGAAAAATCTTCCAGTTACTCAAATGCTGAAAAAAATAAACAATCAATAAAAGCCTTCCAAACACCCTAAAGAATTACAAAATTACTGAATACAAAAAAAAATGAAAAAAAATCCAAAACCTTCCAAGAATAAATTTCAAAACGGTGCTCCCTAGTGTTTCCCTTGTGCTGCCAGGGTTCTCTTCCCTGGAGTGTTCTGGGACTTAGGAGATCTGCCTCATTTGTGGTAGGTTTTGCCTTGGGGTGAGTCATGGGTTTTCACCTCTGTCTTTTCCCCAGTTTGGAACGTCTTTGGCTGGTGGGGCATTACTGGGTATTCACAGCTGCACTACAGAGCACCGAGGTGGGTAAATCAACCCAGTCTAGACCAAGTGGTTTAGGCTGTGGGACTCCCTTTGGTCCTTGTCTCTTTGAAGCTGAGCGCTATAGGTGGCTCTTGTGTTGGGTTCTCGGGCATTGGCTCTCCATGCCGTTCATGTTCAGGGAGTGTGCAGCATTCCAGGCCGACGGTTTGTCCCGATTCCGCCCCATTCCAGGGAGTGGATTGTCGTTGCCACTTCCCTCTTATGGCTGTGTGAGACGTTCAGGAGTTCGGAAGTGGATCCCTTCGTGTCGCCTTGGTCCCGGTGTTCCTCCCTTATGTAACGCCATTCCCCGATTCCGAGGCCCTTGCAGTGGATGTCTTTTGGCAGGACTGGATAGCTTGGATTCCTACTGGGGGTGGGCACTCTTGGCTTCTTGGTGTCTGGCCCTGCCCTGGTTTCCAGCACTGCTTGCGGAGTGCTGAAATCCGACCACCTTTCCATGGCTCCACCTCCTCCGGAGGCTCGGCCTCACTAGGTCGACCTTCTCCTCCATTCTTCACATCTGGTCCTTCTGATGTTGAGGTATTGTCCCTTCTGTAACATTCAAAGGGCTTACAAGATGTTATGCCTGTGGAGTTTGTAGAGGCATGGAGGTCAGTACATGGTTCTTGGTGGTTGTTCCACTATTTTCTTTCATTGTCATTCTTTCTGTGGGGAGCCCAGTCGGCTTCCTGAAACTATCAGAACTGATATGTGCTATATTAGTTTGGGTCATCATTCACCAGAGTCCTTATGCCTACTAGGGACCATGAGCCAGAACCTGGCCACTTCAGAGAGGTGCTAGGAGAAGTGCTATGAGCACTTTACATTTGAAGTATGTCATAATTGCCATCGACTGAGGAAGGACCCAGAAAAGTAGGTGAGTCAAAACAGACAAATGTCTGGTGAACCTGTGCAATCTAAGTCCTAAAAGATCAAAATATCTCCCCCTAAAAAGAAGCATAACAAGCATCACTTCACGCAACTAGCACTCCCGCTCGTTAGTACTAGCTGGGGTAGCACTAGCTGGCTCACAGCCGGTTCACATGAGCCAGCAGCCCACCACTCTAGTTCTTGAACTGATATGCTGGCAGTTGAATTGTCACCTCTGGGCTCAATTTCCTGTTCTGGATTTTTGCCCTGTGGGGCTTTTCTAGCTGTGTGTCGGTATGGTGGCCAGGTGTCTTACTGTACTGGAGCTACGTGTGCCTAGGTTACCTTCCCTAGGTGCTCCATAAGTACTGCCCTTGCATGGCAGGGTTATCTTCTCTGGGACGTTCGGGAATCATTCCCTGTTGAGGACTTTTTTGCTTGAGGTTGTCTTCATCCTTGGGGTGCGTCTGGGGTCTTGGAGGCTTTCCGTCTTGTCCCAGGTAGGGGCGTGTTTTGGCTGGGAGGGGCGCACTACAGCTGAGTCGACCCAGCAGACTCTTCTTGGAAACCTTGCCCCATGGACTCCACCTTTTCATCAGGGATGGTGGGTCTGGATGAGCGCTCTGCCCGGGGGCCTTCGTCGGGAGTTCCCAGGGCTCAAGGGGAGTCCACTTGGAGCTTTTGGGCTCCTTTTCATCCTGCTTGGACCCCTTATGGCCTCTGGGCAGGGGTTGTTGCTGAAGGGGAAATGGTTTTCATCCCCTCCTTTCCTTTAAGAATTCATATTGCTGTATTTGCTGTCATGAATTATGCACCCTCGTGTCGGATGCGTCTATCTTTTACTTGGATGTTTTGTACTGAGAGAGAGAAAAAACTATTTTCGTGTGTTCCAGGGGTCCCCACGTCTGCTCACCAGGGGTGTGGTTCTTTCCAGATCGCCGGGTTCGGGTTCCTGGTGATCTGGAGGCCATTCCATCTGGTTCCATCCCGGGTTCAGACCTACCTGGGTCTTTGTTTAGGACTCTTGGGCCGCTTCTTTGTCTTTGCCTCCAGAAGCGTTGCTGCGGCTGTGGTTCCGCCTTCGGCTGTTTATGAGGGGGTCCCGAGTCACTTGGTGGTTGCTCGAGCGGTTGCGCGGGAGTCTGAACTTCGCCGTGCTGGTCTGCCCGTCGGGTCGGGTTTGGCTTCGGCGTCTGTTTGGTTCCTTCGGGGACTCCCCTTCCGCCTCTCTTGCAATCGTTGGGTTCATCCTCTGGGGATCTTGTGTTGGTGCTGCGTCACCGGCTTCCTCTTTTGGGCTTTTCGGGGTTCCATGCCTAGGCGCCTCCCCAAGCCTTCGCTCAGTGTGTTCTAGGACAGGTCGTCTCTCGGCTGGGGCTTTGTGACCCAACCTGTCCTCTTAAAAATAACGTCGCTTTTCGCTTTTCGCTTTTCACAGCACGGTTCGGGAGTTTGTGGCTGTCAGGTTTGCGCTTCGGAGGGTTTGGGTCACTCGGGGCTCTACCATCCGGCTCTGTTCGGACTGTTCTCCGGTGGTTCAGTGTTGGAACCACAGTGGTTCTCTAGGTCCTTGACCTTGGGGTTGGTCCCTTCGAGTGGCTCGTCTGCTGGATTCTCGGGGTTTGGCTGTCCATGCATTTCATGTCCTGGGTGTGTCCTATGTCCTGGTGGACGGCCCATCTCAGTTCATTCCTCTTTTCATGGATTGACCAGTCGTCGCCGACTCGTTTCGTTGACTCTGCCAGACGTACGAATTCCTGGACATGGACATCTTCGCGTCGGCATGGTCTCTGCGTCTCCCATTCTATGTGGCACCCTTACCCGCCTGTGAGGCATTCACGGTGGATGCCTTTCGGCAGGACTGGTCGAGGTGGAGTTACCTGTTCCTCTTCTCCCAGTCCAGCTGTTACTTCGGGTTCTGGCTCGGTTGGAGTCCTTTCCAAGGAGAGTAGTCCTTGTGGCCCCTTGGTGACCGGCCTAGGGTTGTTTTCAGACGCTGCTTGATAGGTGTCTGAACCAGGGGTATTTCCCACGGCTCTGCCTCTTTCGGCAGCTTGGACCGATCCTGTACGTTGCTGGTTTGGCCTTCTCTTCGGCTCTAATGTCTGGTCTCTTGACGCAGGTGTATCACCATGTCTAGGGTGATCAGGTGGCTTCGTTGATGGTGTCCCACCTGCGAGCTTCGTCTCGGCGACAGTATGACGTTTCCTGGCATTACTATTTGCCATTTTCTTGCTCTTCGTAGGTTGTTTCTCTTTCGCATCGGGTTGTCTTGTCCTTTCTTGGTTTTTCAGGTCCGTTAATTAATGCTTCTTACTGTCGCCTTGTATTGTGCTGTGCTGGCGGAGCCGCTCTGGTTTGCGTTCGGGGTGGACGTCACATCCGCCCCGTTCCGCACGCTTTCTTGTGCTTTATTTCACCTCCGGCCTGCTCATGCGCCACCTGAGCTGTCCTGGTCCTTGATCAGGGTGCTCCCTTAATTTTTCTCTCCTTGGTTTGTGGTAGCCCCTTCAATTCAAGATTGTTTTTCGAAGGCCATATTTTTGTTGGCATTGGCCTCTGCGGGTCGGGTCGGGGAGTTTCCGGCTCTCCTCTGGCGCAGGGGTTTGTGCTCTTTTGGTACTGGTGGTAGATTTGTACGTTTGCAGCCTTTCTCCGTCCTTCTGCCAACGGCCGAGTCGGCTGCTTTCTGGAGGGGTCTTTGGGTTATTGATGCTTGATTGGTTCATGTGTTGTGTCCGGTTAAAGATCTTCACCGTTGCCTGCGTGCTGTGGCTGGGGATGCGTTTTGGGTTGATCTAGTTACCCTCGTTACTTGTCTCCCAGGGCTCGCAGGGTTCTTAAGTCTACCAGCCTGGGGTCTATCCTGGTGCCTGTGCCATTTGGACGTTTACAGCTTTTGTTGCCGTGTTTGGTGATGTCTTTGGCTCATTTAGGGTGCGGCGATTTGGGGGTCACACAGGTTCCTGGCCGCCCTTTATTTTGTGAGTAATTACCTAAGTAATTACCTAAGTGTAGTTACAGGATGAGAGCTACGCTCGTGGTGTCCCGTCTTCCCAGCACTCTTTGTCATATAACGCTTTGAAACTACTGACGGTCTTGGCCTCCACCACCTTCTCACTTAACTTGTTCCAACCGTCTACCACTCTATTTGCGAAGGTGAATTTTCTTATATTTCTTCGGCATCTGTGTTTAGCTAGTTTAAATCTATGACCTCTTGTTCTTGAAGTTCCAGGTCTCAGGAAGTCTTCCCTGTCGATTTTGTCAATTCCTGTTACTATTTTGTATGTAGTGATCATATCACCTCTTTTTCTTCTGTCTTCTAGTTTTGGCATATTTAATGCTTCTAACCTCTCCTCGTAGCTCTTGCCCTTCAGTTCTGGGAGCCACTTAGAGTGTGTCTGCTCCTGTGCTTCTTGTTTTGCTTTGGGTTACAGGTTGCTGCTTGTTACCTGGTTGATACCTGGTTGATGGGGTTCTGGGAGTTCTACTCCCCAAGCCCGGCCTGAGGCCAGACTTGACTTGTGAGAGTTTGGTCCACTAGGCTGTTGCCTGGAGTGGCCCTCAGGCCCACATACCCACCAAAGCCCGGTTGGTCCGGCACTCCTTGAAGGAAACAATCTAGTTTCCGCTTGAAGATGTCCACGGTTGTTCCTGTAATATTTCTGATGCTTGCTGGTAGGACGTTGAACAACCGTGGGCCTCTGATGTTCATACAGTGTTCTCTGATTGTGCCCATGGCACCTCTGCTCTTCACTGGTTCTATTCTGCATTTTCTTCCATGTCGTTCACTCCAGTACGTTGTTATTTTACTGTGCAGATTTGGGACCTGTCCCTCCAGTATTTTCCATGTGTATATTATTTGGTATCTCTCTCGTCTCTTTTCTAGTGAGTACATTTGGAGAGCTTTGAGACAATCCCAATAATTTAGGTGCTTTATCTCGTCTATGCGTGCTGTATATGTTCTCTGTATTCCCTCAATTTCAGCAATCTCTCCTGCTCTGAAGGGGGAGTACTGAGTACTTGAGTACTGAGCAGTACTCAAGACGGGACAACACAAGTGATTTGAAGAGTACAACCATTGTGATGGGATCTCTGGACTTGAAGGTTCTCGTAATCCATCCTATCATTTTTCTGTCTGACGCAATACTTGCTTGGTTATGCTCCCTAAACGTTAGGTCGTCGAACTTCATTTTTCCCAAATCCTTGACATGCTGTTTTCCTACTATGGGCAGATTCGATTGTGTTTTGTACCCTGTATTATGTTTAAGATCCTCATTTTTGCCGTATCTGAGTACCTGGAATTTATCACCGTTAAACATCATGTTATTTTCTGCTGCCCAATCGAAAACTTTGTTAATATCTGTTTGTAGTTTATCAATGTCTTCAGCAGAAGTAATTTTCATGCTGATTTTTGTATCATCTGCAAAGGATGACACAAAGCTGTGACTTGTGTTTTTGTCTATATCTGATATGAGAATAAGGAACAGCAGTGGTGCAAGGACTGTACCTTGAGGTACAGAGCTTTTAACTACGCTCGGACTCGATTTTACTTGATTGACTGTTACTCTTTGTGTTCTGTTCGACAGGAAATTGAGTATCCAGCGTCCTACTTTACCAGTTATACCCATTGACCTCATTTTGTGTGCAATCACTCCATGGTCACATTTGTCGAATGCCTTTGCAAAATCTGTGTACATGACATCTGCATTATGTTTTTCCTCTAATGCCTCAGTGATTTTGTCATAGTGGTCAAGTAGCTGTGAGAGGCATGATCTTCCTGCTCTAAATCCATGTTGGCCTGGATTGTGGAGGTCATTGGTTTCCATGAATCTAGTGACCTGACTCCTGATCACTCTCTCAAATACTTTTATTATGTGGGATGTTAGTGCAACTGGTCTATAATTCTTTGCCAATGCTTTGCTACCACTCTTGTGTAGAGGGGCAATGTCTGCTGCTTTAAGTGCATCTGGTATCTCCCCTGTGTCCAAGCTCTTCCTCCACACTATACTGAGTGCCTGTGCTACTGGCACTTTGCATTTCTTTATAAATATTGAATTCCATGAGTCTGTCAATCTTGAAGTCTGTTGTCTTGACTTCTGGTTGCGGAGTTTGTGGTGGCCGCCTCCTGGGGTCAACCCTTTCTTTTCCTTCTCATTGGGTATGTAGCTCCAGGAAGCTGTAGGGGCTGCTCACAGAAAACCAGCATTGAATGTAATGAAAAGCCATTTTCTGGGTGAGCCCTGGAGACTCCCTGGCATCCCTTTCTCCCCACTGGTCGGCGATTTTTCGTGTTGGTTGATGCTTAGCTTCCAAACTGGGTCTAGGCAGCCAGCGCGGTGAGGTCCGGGGCTCTCCCTCCCCCTCTTAGGGAGGGGAGGGCTGCACGGATGATCGGCGCGGCAGTAAAGTGTGATGTTTGCTTGTTTGTTTGTTTCCTTGGGATTGTAGGGAGTTTCTACCTCTCTGTTCGGTTTTTTGTTTTAGTTTCTTACCATGTGGGGTTTGTTTTGTTATGCCTACCTTTCTGGGTGCCTAACCCCAGTCGATGGCAGATAAGGAAAACCCCCAACCACAAGGGGGTTTTCCAGGGCCATTGCTCCCTGAAACCTCTCTGAAGGGGTCAGGTTCTGGTGCTGGTCCCTGGTATGTCTGAACTCCATAGCTAATGTCCCGGTCTAATATAATATACTTTCGCCTGATAAGCTCCAGGGGGCCTCCGGGGCTCGCCCAGAAAATGGCGTTTCATTACATTCATTGCTGTTTTTTTCAAGATGGCGTCTGTTTAGAATTGGGGTCGGCTTGACTATTGCTGCCCTTATCCCTCGTGGGGCCTTTAAAATCGTGTGCTAGACCCTCAATCGTATATGTACGATGTGCGCGATTTTGTGACAGTTACTCCCTTTGTATATGTATGTATTGCGCAGTTTAAGGGTTAAATGGGTGGATACTATGGAGAGAGATGTCTTCTCCTTAGTTCATCTCATTTCTTAAAGGTAAAGGCGATATTGATAATGAATATGTGGAACAACTCCAGACATGATATGATAAGAGCTGCTGCAGAATTATTCTGGGCTGAAAACTTGTAGTTAATGAATACCCTCTTATTTTTTGTTTAAATTATCATAAATAATTTAACCAATTTGCTGCATGTTGTATTAATGACATTGTACAGTGGCACCTCGATTAATGAGTTTAATCTGTTCCGGCACCGAGCTTGTCATGTGGAAACGAGCCATGTGTCATGTGGTCATGTTATACGAAACAACAACAAAACTGTCATAAAAGGTGTCAGAGAACCAGTGGAAACGCTCGTTAATCGAGGAATAGCTCGTTAGTAGAGACAAATGTTCTGTGAGTGGCTCGCTCGTTACTTGAAATGCTCGTATATAGAGCCGCTCGTTAATCGAGGTGCCACTATGTGTGCAATTTACTGTCCTGTTCACGAGTGACAGATCCTGTGTTTGCTGGCTTTCAGACTGTGCTCCAGTACCATGAGGCTGCAAGGAGGTACGGAGTGGTGGAAGTGGACAAAGCATGTAAACAGTGGCTACTCCACAACCTCCTTACACAGGTGAGGACACATGCAGGTGGTAAGTGAGAAGCCCGGGACACCACTAGCTTCCATGATGGCAAGATATGCCCAGTTATTATGAAGTATTTTTTTTTTTAATTAATCCATGAAACTGATGTCACTCTATATATATTTCCTAATTACTGTATATATAAAAAATAAGACTGTCTTGCTAGGTTACAGAGCATCCTGCAACACTGCGACACATACCGCCGGACTTGTTCTACGAGCTGCTATCTTCACCACACTTGTATGTCATGCAGACGGAGTTCAGTGTTTATGTCATGCTGAAGGTAGGATAAAATTATAGTGCAATGCTGATTCAGCACAAAGTTTACTTTGTATTCTTCACTAGTATGGAAACTCAGTATATAATTACTCAGGGTGACTGCTGTTGCCTTTGGTTCAATGACAACCACACACACATGAATCAACTGCATGAAACTTGTCATTTGTTTAACCTGTGGGATGCTCAGTTATTAATAGCTGACAACAGCCCAGTGCAAAATAATTTTATATTTTTTATTTTTTGTTCCTTCTAATATTGTTAAAATGCATTCCCTGATCACAGGAAAAATAAAAAGCAAATTATATGTGACATATTTTGACTGTGATAGGGTGAGGAAGTCTGGCAAGGTACAGGTGGCGAAAGAGTACATGTCTGGGTCGGTCTGTGCAAGCTAAGCTGGGAGCAGGTAACAATCTGCCACCTCATCCAGAAAAAGCCTTCAAAAAGTCAGCATAGCTTTACATATAGACATATAGGTAAATATTTCCCTTTAGTTGTGTGTGCTGATGCAACACCTGACTAGAATTTCTGGGAAAATGAGGCATTATTATGCATTAAATGATGTAATTTCACTACTGTACTGGTTAGTAGTGTTAGTAAAATATATTACACAGTATAAGAATAGTTTCTTAATGTACTGAATGTTAGTAATTAAGTGTTGGAAATTTCCAACATGACTCACATATGGAAGTTTTTTGGTGGTTTTCAAGGCTTTGTTTTTGGTGAATCCTCCAATTGTATGTAAAGCTGCACTGACTTTCTGGAGGCCTTTTCTGGTGAGATGGCTAATTGTCACCTGCTCCCCACGCCTCTTATGTGAGGGCCAGATTCTGGCTCTGGTCCCTGGCATTTAAAACAGAACTATCGGCAACTGATATGACCTTTTAATGTGAAGCAATCTCGGAAAGAGAGCTTCAGGGAGCCACCGGGGGCTCCTCCAAAAATTGGCATTTCATTATATTCAATGCTGGGTTTTTGTACCTGATGCATTCTTAAACAACATGACTTACCAGTTTGGTGTTTTTTTCTGGGGGGGGAGTCCCATCGGCTCCTAGAAGCTATCTTACTGATCATGTGCCATACTACTACTTGGGTGTCATCAGTCGCAGAGTACTTTTAAACCAACCGGGGATCATGAGCCAGAACCTGGCCTCCCTCAGTGAGGTGCAGGGAACAATGGCCATGACCACTTTACACTTAAAATATGTCATCTTGCCATCAACCGGGAAAGGACCCAGAGAGGTAGGCGAATCAAAACAGACCACTGTCTGGTTAAAAAATTTCAAGTTATGTTCTCACAAGAGCAAAAGAACTCCCCTAGAAAGCAAACAGGCAAAACTTCATCCAACTAACCTCCTACACCACCCCCACCCACCCCACAGGGGGGGGGGGGCAGGGGAAGCCAGCCTGGGAAGGTCAGGCTGCCACCATTCAGTTCTTTGACTGATGCCGTGCTGAGTGGTCACTGTCGCTCTGGTTCCTTGTACCCATTTTCCTTGGTGTTTTGCCCTTGTATCAGTGTTATAAAACAAATGTGTGTTGCCAGGAGTTTGGAGTACTGGAGCTGCATGCACCTACTGTTCCCTTCCTTAGGTATTCTGTAAGTACTGCACTTGCGTCTCAGGGTCATCTTCCCTGGGGTGTGCGGGAAACACTCCCTGTTAGGGGGCTTCCTTGCTTGTGGTGTCCTTGCCCTTGGGGTAAGTTGGGGGTCTTGTGCTTTCTGCCTTGCCCCAGTTAAGGGCCTGTTTGTTTGCAGGTGGAGCACACTGTGGCTAGCACAGCCTGCATTGCTATTATGTGGCGACCGATGTTTCTCTCTGGCCGCTTGTTTGCTTGTTGTGTGCTATCGGGGGCTTTCTTTTGTTTTCATTTTGCCGTGTTAGTCTGTTTTGGCAGTGGAGGTCTGCCAAGCTATTTATTAGGCTTAGCCTAGGCTGTGGTTATCCTTCCCTGTCCTTCCCTGTTACCCCCGAGGTTTCATGACTGCTACATGCAGTCAGTTTGCCTGCTTTAGACAGGGTATACTGGCTTAGCTGGTCCCAGTGCCTGGGCTTCCCATAGGGCTTATTTCCTCCATGGACCTGGAAAAACCCCTGTGGGCTTGGTTGTACCATGGTACTTCTTCCGAGCTCACTCTCGCCTTGGGCGACTTTGAGGGTTGTTCATCATCCCTGTCTCAGGGAGACGATCATCCGTCATGCTGCTTGAGGATTGGAGACACCTACGACCCCAGGGTCTGGCGGAGACTGCTTCCCTGCTAGTGCTCCTCTACTGCGAACTGGTGCTCAAGTTTACCAATCAAACTCCTAAAACCTGAACCCCCAGGACGTGTCCACTCACGGGGGCCTAGCAGGGGATAACCAACCAAGGCAGATCTCCCCACCAGGCAGGAAAACAAAAACAAAAGAAAACCCCCACAAGAGGACAGCGTACTCGGGCGGAACAGGTCCGGCTGCTATAATAGGTGATAACTAGCTGTGCAGTACCCCGTGCCCCAACCAGTGCAAACTACCCCTTACTCTAAGGTAAACAAGGGAGGAGAAAACCCCCCAGCACACTCAGGGCGGTCAATTACCGAGCAGCATAAGACCAAACAGAGGTAGATCCCTAGGTGACTTGTGGAAGATGGCCCCAAACCCCAAGGGCAGTACAGTGGAACCTCGATTAACGAGCGGCTCTTTTTACGAGTATTTCCAGTAACGAGCGAGCCACTCGCAGCAAATTTGTCTCTGTTGACGAGCTTCACCTCTATTAACGAGCAAAACCACATGGTGCTTCCTAGCGTCTCGCGGGTTCTCGCAAATTCTCGGACGCCTCCTTCGCCAGTGTTGTTGTTGTATCTCACACGACAAGCATCCCTCTGGATTTATTTGCACTTTTCTCTGTTTTCTTGTGGTTTTGTAACTGCAATTTGTAATGCACGATGTCACCAAAGAAGCTGCTTGCTAAAGACAGTGTTGGGAAGGGGAAGAAAGTGACAATTACTGTGGAAGTGAAGAAGGAAATCATAGCCAAGCACGAGTGTGGTGTGCGTGTGATTGATCTCGTCAGGAAGTATGGCAGGTCCTCATCAACGATTTGTACCATTCTGGAGAGGAAGGAACAATTTAAGACGCTTGAGGTGGCTAAAGGAGTTACCAAGGTTAACAAGAAACGTCCACAAATCCTAGAAGGGGTTGAAAAGCTACTGCTAGTCTGGCTGAATGAAAGGCAATTACATGGCGATAGTGTGTCTGAAGCTCTTGTCTGTGCAAAGGCCAAGAAGTTGTATGTGGACCTTGTCAGGAAGACACCAGGTGCGTCGTCTGAAGAGGAGGAGATATTTAAGGCAAGCCGTGGCTGGTTTGAGAAATTTAGGAAGAGAAGCGATATCCACAGTTTTGTGCCACAAGGGGAGGCTGCCAGCTCTGATAAAGCTGCTGCTGAGAAATTTGTACCAGAGTTCCAGGAATTTGTTGCTGGAAAGGAGTTCTTACCCCAACAAGTTTTTAATTGTAACGAGACTGGCCTGTTTTGGAAGAAAATGACGAAGAGGACCTACATCACACAGGAGGAACAATCTTTGCCTGGCCACAAACTGATGATGGATCGGCTTACTCTCGTCCTCTGCACCAATGCAAGTGGCAATTGCAAGGTCAAGCCGCTTGTAAACTACCATTCAGAAAATCCACACACATTCAAGGCATGTAAAGTGTACAAGGCGCGGCTGAATGTGATGTAGAGGTCCAATAAGAAATCCTGGGTCACGAGGATATTCTTCATTGAATGGGTCAATGATGTTTTTGGCCCTTCAGTGAGGAAATATCTTGAAGAGAAGCAGTTGCCACTCAAAGCCTTGCTTGTGCTCGATAATGCTCCTGCACATCCTCTACAAATGCGAGATGAATTGTATCCAGAAAATCAGTTCATCACCATCAAGTTCCTTCCTCCCAATACCACTCCACTCCTCCAACCTATGGACCAGAAAGTCATTGCAAACTTTATGAAACTCTACATGAAGGCCTTGTTGGAGAGGTGTGTTGATGTGATCGATAATACAGAGCTGACTCTCAAAGAATTCTGGAAGAACCACTTCAATATCCTGGGTGCCTTACGTTTGATCGATAAGGCCTGGGAAGGAGTGACACGGAGGACCCTGAACTCTGCATGGCATAACCTGTGGCCTGAGGATATCCCTGAGCGAGACTTTGAAGGTTTCGATCCTGCACCTGCATCTGCATCTGCACCTGTGGAAGACCCGGAAGTGCATCTAGTGGATGATATTGTTGCTCTGGGGCAAACTTTGGGTCTGGAGTTGGATGCTGCTGATGTGCAGGAGTTAGTGGAGGAGCACAGTGAGGAACTGACCACTGAGGCATTCCTGGAACTTCAGAAGAAGCTTAATCAAGAGGAGGCACAAGAGCTCTCATCAGGGGAGGAGGAGGTAGGGGAGGATGCTGCTGCCTCTTCAAGTGAGATCAGGGAAGTGTTGGGAATGTTTGAAAAGGTGACCGCATTCTTAGAAAAACATCACCCTGATCAAGCAGTGAGAACCCGGTGTGTGAACATGTTTAATGACAATTTGCTGTCTCGTTTTAAGGACATCCTAAAAAAAAAAGACAAAAGCAATTGTCAATAGATACGTTCTTTGCAAAAGTAGAGAAAAGAAGAGCCAGTGATCGTGAACCAAAACCCGGTCCCAGTGGGGTGAAATTCCCAAGAAGAGAGAGCCTGCCTGACTCAGTGGTGGATTCTCTTTCCACACCATAACCCCTCTCCTCCTTCCCACCTCCCCATCGTCTCCCTCAAGCTAGCAATGACTCTTCATTAGGTAAAGTAAACATTAAAACAGTACAACAAAACATTTATAATTACATGTGCAGTATTATATTTACATAAAAAAATGTCATACAAGTATGGATGTTTTTGGGAGTGGAACGGATTAAATTTATTTCCTTTATTTTAAATGGGAAATTTGTTTCTTAAGACGAGTTTTCCAGATAATGAGCTCGGTGCCAGAACGGATTAAACTCGTTAATAGAGGTTCCACTGTACTTACAGGGCACTTAGGGAAAGTAACTCTAAGTACTTGCAGCCCCTGCACCTGTGAATTTACTCCCAGCTCATGCACCACCCAGAAGACAGCACTGGACACAAGTCACAGCACAGAAAACACAATGCTCAGATGGAATTTCACCATAGGTTCTGAGAGAATGTGCACCTGAGCTCAGCATTCCACTTCAACTGATTTTTTAGGCATCCCTGACATCTATCTGGACCTCTGGAAAAACGAACTTACTCAGGCTTTCAACAGAGTTTCCACATTAGAGGTTGTTCTCGCTGAGAGGTACAGCTTCTAACATGGATGAAAAATTTCCTAACTGATAGAAAAATGAGGGCTGTAATCAGAGGCAATGTATCGGACTGGAGAAATGTCACAAGAGTGGAGTACCACAGGGTTCAGTTCTTGCACCGGTAGTGTTCATTGTCTACATAAACAATCTACCAGATGGAATACAGAATTATATGAACATGTTTGCTGATGATGCTAAGATAATAGGGAAGATAAGAAACTTAGATGATTGTCATGCCCTTTAAGAAGACCTGGACAAAATAAGTATATGGAGCACCACTTGGCAAATGGAATATAATGTGAATAAATGCCATGTTATGGAATGTGGAATAGGAGAACATAGACCCCACACAACCTATAAATTATGTGAGAAATCTTTAAAGAATTCAGATAAAGAAAGAGATCTAGGGGTGGTTCTAGATAGAAAACTATCACCTGAGGACCACATAAAGAACATTGTGTGAGGAACCTATGTTACACTTTCTAACTTCAGAATTGCTTTTAAATACATGGATGGCAAAATACTAAAGAAATTGTTCATGACTTTTGTTAGACCAAAGCTGGAATATGCAGCGGTTGTATAGTGCCCATATCTTAAGAAGCACATCAACAAACTGGAAAAGGTGCAAACATGCCACTAAGTGCTCCCAGAACTGAAGGACAAGAGCTACGAGGAGAGGTTATCTTGAGGTTATCTTGAGATGATTTCGGGGCTTTTTAGTGTCCCCGCGGCCCGGTCCTCGACCAGGCCTCCACCCCCAGGAAGCAGCCCGTGACAGCTGACTAACACCCAGGTACCTATTTTACTGCTAGGTAACAGGGGCATAGGGTGAAAGAAACTCTGCCCATTGTTTCTCGCCGGCGCCTGGGATCGAACCCAGGACCACAGGATCTCAAGTCCAGCGTGCTGTCCGCTCGGCCGACCTGGCTCCCAGAACTGAAGGACAAGAGCTACAAGGAGAGGTTAGAGGCATTAAATATGCCAAAATTAGAAGATAGAAGAAAAAGAGGTGATATGATCACTACGTACAAAATAGTAACAATCGGAATCGATAAAATTGATAGGGAAGATTTCCTGAGACATGGAACTTTAAGAACAAGAGGTCATAGATTTAAACTAACGAAACAAAGCTGCCAGAGAAATATAAGAAAATTCACTTTTATAACCAGAGTGGTAGATGGTTGGAACAAGTTAGGTGAGAAGGTGGTGGAGGCCAAAACCGTCAGTAATTTCAAAGCGTTATATGACATAGAGTGCTAGGGAGATGGGACACCACGAGCGTAGCTCTCAACCTGTAACTATACCTAGGTAATTACACTTAGGTAATTACAAAAATCAGGAGCTGGAGTCACACGACCAAGCCTCAAACTCATCAATAGAGAATTGGGGTGTGGGTAGCCGGTGTGAGGGGTCTGGGGCTCCCCCTTCACAATCCCGGGAAGGGGAGAGCTGCGCAGAAGGCGGCACAGCACGTCGTGACGTAGTGCTCGTTTGTCTTTGGGGAGTTCTGTCCACTTGTTTGACTTTCAGTAGTAGTAGTTTCAACCAGAATAGGGGTTTGTTTTGGAATGCTTACCTTTCTGGGTGCCTGACCCGGTCAATGGCAGACTTAGTCTGTTCCAAATCACATGTGCAATTCTATAGGCCATTGTTCCTCGGGCCTCTTTGAGGGGGCCAGGTCCTGCCTCGTGGACCCCGGTAGGCCTAAGAACTCCATTCACACTGACTGATGCCAAAGTAATATATCCATATCAGCCTGGATAGCTCCGGGGAGCCTCCGGGTCTCACCCAGAAAATGGCATTTCATTACATTCAACACTGGTTTTTTGTATCTCATTTAGGAAGTTAATTTGTAATATCATGTTCCATTGTGCAGGCTTGGGTGTTCTTGCGGTTGAACCCTTCATGGGAAGGATCACATGAGGAGGCATTCTTGGAAGCCCACAAGCAGTTCAGGAATCGAACAGGTGAGAAACAATTGGGTATTGAAAATGTTGATTTAGTAAGGAGTTGTCAGCATAAAATGAAAAGTTATAGGTAAATTCTATTTTATCAATTGAATCTAAAGGTACAAATTTTGTGGAACAGAAGACTTATTTCCAGCGTTTTCATTTAATTATTTCTAAAACCCTCGTTACTCTCTTGAGACAAAGTTTGTCAAATGTATGATAGAACTGATAGAATTTATGATAGAATTGCTAAAGATGATATATAATGTAAAACAAAAATAACTAAAATACAGTATATGTAAATGCAATAATAAATGTTAATTAAGACATGTTTTAAGAATATATTACTGTATAATACAGTAACATCAAAATTATTTTTATATAAAAAAATTGGGATTAATTAATGTAATTTTTATTTAAATTTTTACTGACAACCATGAGCCATTGTGCCACAAGCTCGTCACCATATAGTAATACAAAATACAAAATAACTTTCCATTTTTGCATGTCATTATCATCATCTTAACTCCTGTGGGTTGAGATTGCCATCTATCATTTATTTGTATTTTAGTTTGTGTTGATAGGGAAATATGTATACTTAAGGGTACCTTATCATCCAACCCGTTCTCGCACTTGCTTTTAGTCAATATTGGCTTATTTAATAAGTGCATATGTGACATACTAATTGATTGTGAATATTTTAGTTTACTTTGAAAAGCTTCATAGAAAACACCGACCTCACCTAACCTTCTTAGTATGTTAAGATTAGCATCTTATTGCTTTTTAATTACAATTATTACTTAACCTATACCGTTGATAGGTTAAGTAATAATTGTAAATAAGAAGCAATAAGATGCTTATCTTAACATACTAAAAAGGTTAGGTGAGGTCGGTGTTTTCTATGAAGCTTTTCAAAGTAAACTAAAATATTCACAATCAATTGGTGAATAACAATTCACAATCATCGGCGACAGTATGAAGTTTCATACTAAAGTTGGTGTTCCTTTCGCCATTTTCTGGCTCTGTAGGTTGCCTTTCGGATCAGGTTGTCTTGTCTTTTCTTTCTTGGCTTTTTCAGGACTGTCATTTGATGCCTAATACTGTCGCCTCGTATCGTGTGGCGCTGGCGGAGCCGCTCAAGCTAGCCTTCGGGGTGGACGTCACATCCGTCCCATTCCGTAAGCTTTCCCGTGCTATGTTTCACCTCCGGCCTGCTCATGCGCCTCCTGAGCCGTCCTGGTCCTTGGACAGGGTGCTCTCCTATCTTTCCTCTCCTTGGTTTGTGGTGGCCCCTTCGGTTCCGGATTATTTTTCCAAGGCTTTGTTTTTGTTGGCATTGGCCTCTGGGGGCCAGGTTGGGGACTTCATGCTCTCCTCCGGCACAGGGGTTTCTGCTCTTTTGGTCCTGGGGGTAGGTTTGTTCGTTTGCAGCCTTCTCCATCTTTTCTGGCGAAGACAGAGATGGCTGCTTTCCGGAGGGGTCTGTGGGTCATTGATGCTTGGTTGGTTCGGCCGGGGGTGCATCATGTGTTGTGTTCGATTGCAGCACTTCGCCGTTACCTGCGTGCTTCAGCCGGGGTGGCTGGGGGATGCGCTTTGGGTTGATCCGGTTTCCATTCTTCCCTGTTCTCAGGTTCGGGTCTATTCTTGCGCCTATGACATTCGGAAGTTTGCGGCTTTGGCTGCCGTGTTTGGTAACATGTCTTGGGCTCATATTGCAGCGCGTGGATTTCGGAAGTTGAACAGGGTCCTGGCCGCCCGTTATTTAGTGAACGTCCCTGCTCGTCGGCGTTCTTGTGTTGCTTTGGGTTGCAGGTTGCAGCCAGTTGTCTTGACTTCGCGTTGAGGAGTTTGTGGCCGGCGCCTCCCGGGGTAAGTCCCTATTTCCTTCTCTTTGGGTATGTAGCTCCAGGGAGCCATAGGGGCTCCCCACAGAAAACCAGCATTGAATGTAATGAAACACCATTTTCTGGGTGAGCCTCGGAGGCTCCCTGGCTACCCTCCCTCCCATCCGGGCGGTGGTTTTTTTTGCGTTGGTTGAAGCTTAGTTTCCGAACTGAAGGCAGCTAGCGCGGTGAGGTCCGGGGCCCTCTTCCCCCCCTGGGAAGGAGAGGGCTGCGCGGATGACCAGCGCGGCAGTAAATTGATTGTGTGATTGTTTTCTTGGGATTGTAGGAAGTTTCTACCTCTCTGTTCGGTTTTTGTTGTAGTTTGTTACCGTGTGGGGTTTGTTTTGTTATGCCTACCTTTCTGGGTGCCTAACCTCGGTCATGGCAGATAAGGAAAACCTCCAACCATAATGGGGTTTTCCTGGTCCATTGCTCCCTGAAACCTCTCTGAAGGGATCAGGTTCTGGCGCTGGTCCCTGGTAGGTCTGAACTCCATAGCTAATGTCCCGGTCTATCATAACATACATTAGCCCGATAAGCTCCAGGGAGCCTCCGGGGCTTACCCAGAAATTGGCGTTTCATTACTGGTTTTATAGAATATTTTCTCTCTTGATTTATACTATTAATTTTATAATACAGTAAGCCAAATACAGTGCTGTATAATTATTTTATAGTCCATCAAGAATGCCAGTAACTTTCTTGGACCCTACCCTATTTGGAAATGATTATCACATATTCATTTGCAGAGCCTGGTTGGTTTCTTGAAGAAGATGGACGAGAATTCTCTCTGGTGTTCTCTGCACTGCGACTTGAGTACCTTATCTATCACCATCTGGATGTTGAAATGTTATACTCTGATCGCATTTTGCCTCCATCGTGGCTGACACCTGCCAGTATGCACCAGTGGTATAACATGCTCAGAATTGATCAAGGCAAAGACAGAGGGTAAGTTACTGTGTATGCAACTTTATTATTCCTTCGTTGATATTGTTCACTTTACCTGGTAGAATGGATGCCTCCTAATTTTGCCCTGTTTACCTTTTTTTCAATGCCATTCATCACTATCACACCCAAGTGTCTTCACAACCACCCCTACACTCCTCACAACCACCCCTACACTCCTCACAACCATCCCTACACTCCTCACAACCATCCCAGCTCTTCACTGCTACCACCACCAGCTCTCCTCACTACCACCACCAGCTCTCCTCGCCACCACCTGTTGCCGCTTTACGTCATTACCTGCGAGCTACTGGTTCAGTGACAGTAGATGCTCTCTGAGTGGACCCAGGTTCCCTGTTCCAGCACTCCTGTTTCTCAGGTTGTCTGCAGGGTTATCAAGTCTTGACAGTCTGCGGTCTACCCTCGTGGCTATGATGTATGAAAGTATGCAGCTCTTGCTGCCATTTTTGGTAATATGTCTTGGGTTGATATTCAAGCGCTGGCGTTTTGGAAATTTAACAGGGTCCTGGCCGCCAGATATCTTGTTAACATCCTGGGCCCTCTGCGGCCTTGTGTTGCCTTGGGTTGTCTGTCGCGGCCAGTTGTCTTGTCTTCGTTATGAGATCTGTGGTGCTGGTGCCTCCTGGGGTAAGACCCTGTTTCTGTGGGGAGCCCCTATGGCTCGCTGGAGCTTATCGGGCTAATGTATGTTATATTAGACTGGGACATTAGCGATGGAGTTCAGACCTACCAGGGACCAGCACCAGAACCTGGCAACTTCAGAGAGGTTTCAGGGAGCATTGGCCCTGGAAGTCCCCCTTGTGGTTGGAGGTTTTCCTTATCTGCCTTCGACCAGGGTTAGGCACCCAGAAAGGAAGGCATAAGAAAACAAACCCCACATGGTAAGAAATTAAAACAAAAAGCGAACAGAGGTAGAAACTCTCTACAATCCCAAGGAAACAAGCGAACAAGCAAACATCACACTTTACTGCCGCACCGATTGTCTGCGCAGCCCTCCCCACCCCGAGAGGGGGAGGGGGGGTCTGGACCTCACCGCGCCGGCTGCCTAGCACCAGTTCGTAAGCTAATGTCAACCGGGACAGACGCTTCTCTGGCCTCGGTTTCCTAGGGGGTGTTTGTCTTCGTGAACCAGTCATGTACAGGACTGAACCAGTCCTGTACGTGACTGGTTCAGTCTTCTCCTCGGCTCTTCGTGTTTGCCCTGCTGACGCGGATGTATCAGAGATGGCTTGGTTGATGGTATCCCACCCGCGAGCTTCATCTTGGCGACAGTATGACGTTCCTGGCATTTCTATTCACCATTTTCTTGTTCTTCGTAGGTTGTCTTCTCTTTCGCATCAGGTTGTCTTGTCCTTTCTTGGGTTTTTCAGGACTGTTAATTGATGCTTCTTATATTCCCCTCGTATTGTGCGGCATTGGCAGAGCCGCTCCGACTTGCGTTCGGGGTGGACGTCACATCCGCCCCGTTGCATTCGCTTCTCGTGTTGTGTTTCACCTCCGGCCTGCTCATGCACCACCTGAGCCATCCTGGTCCTTGATCAGCGTGCCATTTTATCATTCCTCTCAGTTTGTGGTAGGCCCTTCAGTTCAAGATTGTTTTTCAAAGGCCATACTTTGTTGGCATTGGCCTCTGTGGATCGGGTCGGGGAGCTTCCGGCTCTCCTCCAGTGCAGAGGTTTCTGCTCTTTTGGTACTGGTGGTAGGTTTGTACGCTTGCAGCCTTTCTCTGTCCTTCTGACAATGGTAGAGACGGCTGCTTTCTGGAGGGATCCTTGGGTTATTGATGCTTGGTTGGTTCGGCCGGGGGTGTGACATGTGTTGTCCGGTTGCAGTTCTTCGCCGTTACCTGCGTGCCGTGGCTGGGGATGCGCTTTGTGTTGTTCGGGTTTCCCTCGTTCCCTGTTTCAGGGCTCGGGTCTCCCAGGTCGTCCGCAGTTTTCTTAAGTCCACCAGCCTGCGGTCTATCCTTGCACCCATGCCATTCGGACGTTTGCAGCTTTCGCTTCCGTGTTTGGTGACGTCTTGGGCTCATTTCGGGCGCGAGGATTTGGAGGTCGCACAGGTTTCTGGCCGCCCGTTCATTTGTGAGCGTGTCTGCTCCTGTGCGTTCTTGTGTTGCATTGGGTTGCAGGTTGCTGCCTGTTGTTTCGACTTCGCGTTGCTGAGTTTGTGGCCGACGCCTCCCGGGGTCAGCCCTTTCTTTTCCTTCTCTTTAAGTATGAAGCTCCAGGGAGCCGTAGGTGCTCCCCACAGAAAACCAGTGTTGAATGTAATGAAACGCTATTTTCTGGGTGAGCTCTGGAGTCTCCCTGGCAACTCTCCCTCCTACCGGTCGTAATTTTTTTCGCGTTGGTTGAAGCTTAGCTTTTGAACTGGTGCTAGGCAGCCGGTGGGGTGAGATCCGGGGCCCCCCCTCCCCCTCTTGGGGTGGGGAGGGCTGCGCGGACAATCGGTGCGGCAGTAAAGTGTGATGTTTGCTTGTTCGCTTGTTTCCTTGGGATTGTAGATAGTTTCTACCTTTGTTCGCTTTTTGTTTTAATTTCTTACCATGTGGGGTTTGTTTTCTTATGCCTACCTTTCTGGGTGCCTAACCCTGGTCGAAGGCAGATAAGGAAAACCTCCAACCACAAGGGGGTTTTTCAGGGCCATTGCTTCCTGAAACCTCTCTGAAGGGGCCAGGTTCTGGCGCTGGTCCCTGGTAGGTCTGAACTCCATAGCTAATGTCCCGGTCTAATATAACATACATTAGCCCGATAAGCTCCATGGAGCCTCCGGGCTCACCCAGAAAATCGCATTTCATTACATTCAACGCTGGTGTTTTACTTATCTGTGGGTCAACTTCAGGGAGCAGACTGGGCAGGCGATGAGTCACAATAACGTGGCTAAAGTATGTTGACCAAGACCGCACACTAGAAGATGAAGGGACGGCGATGTTTCGGTCCGTCCTGGACCATTCTCAAGTCGACTCAAGTCAAATCGCAATCGACTTGAGAATGGTCCAGGACAGACCGAAACGTTGTCTTCCCTTCATCTTCTAGTGTGTGGTCTGGTCAGCAGACTGGGCTCCCCTTAGAAAACCAGCATTGAATGTAATGAAACACCATTTTCTAGGTGAGGGCCCCAGGGGTTCCCTGATACCCTCCCTCTCTCCGGTGTGCTGTTTTCATCATTGTCTGAAGTGAGGATGGTGCAGCCTACTCGCCTGAGCTACGTCCCACTTTTCCACTCTAGGGGGAGGGGGAGATTATAATGAGCGGGTGTTGTAGTTGGATGATGTGTTGCTTATTTCCTTCTTTTATATTGGGAGGAATTCTGGACCTCTGTTCAGATGTAGGTTGCAATTTTCACCAGTTAGAGATTTATAATGGTTCACCTACCTTTCTGGATGCTTTTCCTGGTCAATTGCAGACATGACAAACTCTACATATATAGAGCTCATATGGCCATTGCTCCCTTTGCCTCTCTAAGGGGGAAGGGGGGTGCCAGGTTCTGGTTCGTGGACCCTGATAAGCACTCAAATTCCAAGGGCTAATGGCACCAAACTAATATGACACATGTCAGTTTCATAACTTCAAGGAGCCTCCAGGGCTCACCCAGAAAATGGCATTTCATTACATTTAATGCTGGTTTGTTCAAACCACAGTGTTGTACATGCTTCACCCACGTACTACAAATAATCGGCAACAGAACCTAGACACCTAACCAAACCTAACCACTGCCTAAATATGCACAGTATGCTAAAATATTACAATATTAATTTTATTTCAGAAAATTCTTATTTTGAATGAACAGCATGTTAAAATTGATGAATGTGTCTTTGGGGTCTACTGCTGGATGGAATGAACTTGGTTTGAGGACGGGTTGCAGAAAGAGGACCACTCAAGAAAGAGAACGCAAACGACTGTACAGGAGAAGGAAAAATCACAGAAATTCTTAAACAGACACGTCTATCACAAGAAAGGAAATTAAATCTAAACAAGGAGATCGAAGAAATAGAGCAGATGTTGAAATGATCATTCGAGTCTGAGGAATTGGAACAAAAAGATATACAAGAGATAGAGAAAAATCCAAAATATTTTTTCACATATGCAAAATCAAAATAAAAAAACCTCCACCAGTATTAGACCATTACTTACAACTGAAGGTTCGTACACAGAAGACAACAAAGGAATTAGTGAAATTCTAAAAGGCCAGTATGAGGCTATGTTTAGCACTCCAATAAACAACATGAAAGTTGAAGATCCAGACAGTTTCTCTATGAAAGACATTCAAGCTGCAGTTCAAGGGAGCCGGTTGGCCGAGCGGACAGCACGCTAGACTTGTGATCCTGTGGTCCTGGGTTCGATCCTAGGCGCCGGCGAGAAACAATGGGCAGAGTTTCTTTCACCCTATGCCCCTGTTACCTAGCAGTAAAATAGGTACCTGAGTGTTAGTCAGCTGTCACGGGCTGCTTCCTGGGGGTGGAAGCCTGGTCGAGGACCGGGCCGCGGGGACACTAAAAAGCCCGAAATCATCTCAAGATAACCTCAAGATAACCAAGATAATATAATGGATATTAACAGGAACTCAGAAGACTTTGAAAGAGAAATTGAGAACATGCCCATGTACTCGGCCCCTTTTCCTGACTCATGGAAGTCAATATTCATAAAAAAAATTTAAAGTACCAGTAGCGCGAGCACTCAGAGTAATATGCAGAAGGAGCCTGGATACAGGGAAGATACCAGTAGCACTTAAATCAGCAACAGTGGGTCCCTGTGTTTTCTTCCTTCTCTGTGGAGATTTAGCTTCAGTGAACTACAAGGGGCTCGTTCCCCCAACTCCCTACCCCAGAAAACAAGCATTAAGTGTAATGAAGTACCAATTTCTGGGTGAACCCCGGTGGTTCCCTATTCCCTTCCTCGTTTTCAGGTTGTCAGGTAGTTAGTGGTTTTGTGTATGCATCTGCTCTAGAACTGAGGGCTTAGGTCATTGGATAGTGAGAGCTGCTTTCCCCCTCCCCAAATGAGGGGAGGTGGGGTGGCAAACAAGTGCACATTAGTTGTGTTTTTACATAGTTGGGGGGAGTTCAATAGGCAGGTTTTGAGCCTTTGGTCTCTTTTGAAGCCAGCAGTGGTCTATTCTGGTTCGCTGACGTTTTGGATTCCTTTCAAGGTGTGATGGCTTGGCACCTGCTTCCTGCACATCTTTGAGGTAGGGGCTGGGTTCTTGCTCTGGTCCCCAGTATGCCTGAGAAGTTCACAGTTGATATGACCTAGTAACTAGGAGCCATCTCAGCAAGATAGCTTCAGGGAGCCACTAGGGGTTTCACCTAGAAATTGGTGTTTCATTACAGTTAATGCTGGTCATGGCTCCTGGCAAGTGATGAATGGTTCTCAGAGGCTTGGTGCATGTGTTTAACTAAAGCCCGGTGATACCATAGCCAAGCTCGGGGAGCTTACTTATGGTACCTTTTCTCGTTGGCCCCTCTTTCCTTGGGCCGACATGAAAAGGGCATTTAATTTCATTCATTGGTTGATCTTTAATTTGCCATTTACTTCATTGCAATTAAAAAGTTATAATTAAATTATAAATATTTTACATTTACAGTCCAAGTGAAATCTCAGAAGAAGAATTTGATAAATCATGCACACGTTGTGGACGAGTACTGGCCAACTCTGGACAGCACATATGGAGGTGGACTGGTTACAATTTTGGTCTTGATCTAGTCATGACTCATGATGGAGCATCCCTGAGACTAAAACGTAATCATAGAACAGAAAACATTGCCAGCATTGCTCAGCCTGCAACACGCAACATTATGTACAGGTAAATATGTTTAGAAAGTAATTAAATCATGTTTAGATACTTTACACACTTTTTGCTGCCTTCATCACTTAGATCAATCATGTCCCTCACACTGCCTATACCATTTATGCCACTCCTGGAGGAACGTATGGCAAGGTACACTAGAAACAGTACTGTGTTGATATTTTATGACAGTTAAAAAAACCAGTGTTGAATGTAATGAAACGCCATTTTCTGGGTGAGGCCCGCAGGCTCCCTGGAGCTTATCAGGCTAATGTATGTGATATTAGACCGGGACATTACCTTTGGAGTTCAGACCTACCAGGTACCAGCGCCAGAACCTGGCCCCTTCAGAGAGGTTTCAGGGAGCAATGACCCTGGAAAACCCCCTTGTGGTAGGGATTTTCCTTATCTGCCATCGACCGGGGTTAGGCACCCAGAAAGGTAGGCATAACAAAACAAACCCCACATGGTAAAAAACTAAAACAAAACCGAACAGAGAGGTAGAAACTCCCTACATTCTCAAGGAAACAAGCAAACATCACATTTTACTGCTGTGCTGCTCGTCCGCGCAGCCCTCCCCTCCCCGAGAGGAGGGGAGGGGGACCGGACCTCACCGCACCGGCTGCCTAGCACTCCAGTTCAGAAGCTAAGCTTCAAACCACGCGAAAAACCGCCGACCGGTGGAAGGGAGGGTTGCCAAGGAGCCTTCGGGGCCCACCCAGAAAATGGGGTTTTATTACATTCAACGCTGGTTTTCTGTGGGGAGCCCCTACGACTCCCTGGAGCTACATACCCAAAGAGAAGGAAAAGAAAGGGCTGACCCGGGAGACGGTCGCCACAAACTCCGCAACACGAAGTCGAGACAACAGGCAAGGTAGCAACCTTCAACTCAAAGCAACACAAGAACGCCCAGGAGCAGACCTGCTCACAAAATAACGGGCGGCCAGGAACCTGTGCGACCTCCAAATCTCCATGCCCGAATTGAGCCCAAGACATGTTACCAAACACGTCAGCGAAAGCTGCAAACGTCCGAACGGCACAGGCGCAAGGATAGACCACAGGCTGGTAGACTTAAAAACCCTGCGGATGACCCGGCAGACCCGTGCCCTGGAACAGGGAATGAGGGGAACTGGATCAACTCAAAGAGCATCCCCAGCCACGGCACGCAGGTAACGGTGAAGAGCCGCAACCGGACACAACACATGATGCACCTCCGGCTGAACCAACCAAGCATAAAAAATCCAAGGACCCCTCCAGAAAGCAGCCGTCTCGGCTTTCGCCAGAAGACGGAGAAGACTGCAAATGTACAAACCTACCACCAGAACCAAAAGAGCAGAAACCCCTGCGCAGGAGGAGAACCAGAAGCTCCCCGATCCGACCCGCAGAGGCCAATGCCAACAAAAATATGGCCTTCGAAAAACAATCTTGAACCGAAGGGGCTACCACAAACCGAGGAGAGGAAAGATAAGGGAGCACCCTGATGAAGGACCAGGATGGCTCAGGCAGCGCAATAGCAGGCCGGAGGTGAAACAAAGCACGAGAAAGAGTATGGAACGGGGCGGATGTGACGTCCACCCCGAATGCAAGCCGGAGTGGCTCCGCCAGCTCCACACGAAATGAGGCGACAATAAGAAGCATCAATTAACAGTCCTGAAAAAACAAGAAAAGACAAGACAACCCAATGTGTAAGCAAGAAAAAAGGTGAAAAGAAACACCAGGAAACTACATACTGTCACCGAGACGATACTCGCAGATGGGACACCTTCAGCGAAGTCATCTGATCACCATATACATGGTGATACACCCATGTCAAAAGACCAGACGCGAAGAGCCAAGGAGAAGGCTGAACCAACCATGTACCGGACCGGTCCGACCTGCCGAAAAAGGCGGAATCACGGGAAACGCCCTGGATTCGGACACCGATCAAGCACCGTCTGAAAACAAAGCTGGGCCAGCCACCAAAGGGCCACGAGGACTACTCACCTCTGGAAGGACTCAAAAGCCAGAACCCGAAGCACCAGCTGGACCGGGGAAAGAGGTACAGGTAACTCCACCTCGACCAGTCCTGCTGAAAGGCATCCACTGTGAACGCCTCGCAGGCGGGTAAGGGCGCCACATAGAATGGGAGATGATGAGACCACGCCGACGCGAAAATGTCCACATTGGACGGGAGACCCCTGAGTGACCTGAACCCTCCGAAGCGCAAACCAGACAGCCGGGAACTCCCGAATCGTTCTGTGAGCCCGACGGAAGGACGGACCCCACCGTTTCCGGCCGGCCTGGCGAGCACTGGTCACAAAGCCCCAGCCGAGAGACGACCTGTCCGTGAACACATTGAGCGAAGGCTTGGGGAGGTGCCAAAGCATGGAACCCCAAAAACCCCGAAGAGGAAGCCAGTGACACAGCACCAACACAAGGTCCCCAGAGGACGAACCCAACAATCACAAGAGACGCAGAAGGAGCGTCCCTGAAGGAACCAAAACAGTCGCTGAAGCCAAACCCAACTCATCGGGTAGACCAGCACGGCGAAGTTCAGACTTCCACACAACCGCTCGAGCAACCACCGAGTGACCCGGAACCCCCTCAGAAACAGCCGAAGGCAGGACCGCAGCCGCAGCAACGCCTCTGGAGGGAGTGACAAAGAAGCGGTCTAAGAGTCCTAAACAAGACCCAGTCAGAACTGAACCAGATGGAACGTCCTCCAGTTCACCAGGAACACAAACACGGTGAACTTGAAAGAACCACACCCCTGGCAAGCAGACAAGCGGACCGACTGGTAGCCTACACCAGCCAGTCGTTGAGGTAGGCCAAAAACCGAATCCCAAGCAAACGCATACAGGTCACCAAGATCTGGTAAAGATGCATAATTACACGAAGTGCCAATTACAAACTAGGGATGGCAACAAAAGAGGCAAGCATGAAGCCCCACCACCAACTGTGCCAGTCTCGGAACCCTGGAGAGGAACGTACCAAGAAGAGACCCAGAGATCCAGGGACACCATCCAGGCACCCGGCCCCAACAGAAGCCGGACCAAAGACAACATTCTTCCGAAAAGGTAAAAAAATCTAGGGTGCAGACTGAACAAGTCCAGAAGAACCGCAGATCTGCAAAGGCCCGTGTCTGCATTAGAACAGACGGGAACCCCGGAAGGATGGGGCGGATCGACCACGTCCAAATGCACCTACCAAGATGACATGGTGAAGCGTAAGCCCATCCTGCCTGCCCCGAAGCCCCCAAAGGGGAAGAAACCGTCCGACGCCACCAGAGGCCAGAAAACAACCAAAAAACGCCCACTGACTGCGGGACCAAGCGAGAGCCAACAGAGCAAGCTGCCCCCCCCAGCACCCCGTCAACAGCGAAGAGAACCGAGCCTCTTCCGAAAGAAAAGGTAGATACTAGTACAGTATATAAACACACATACACATGCATATATATACGTCAATATTCTTGGGATTATTAACACTATCGGTCACCTGGCATGCACGCGGTACACTTAGGGGGTCATGCACCCAGCGTGCGGGCGAGCATGTGGGTAAGCACGCGGTGATACCTAAATGTGTTTACTCGTTTCAGCTTTCTCACCTTAATTCTCGTGGTACGTCGTTCGTTTTGGTATCATTGTGTTCGCAATTAAATTCCCTACAGGTGTGTATAAATATGATGTCCAAAAGCCTGGTGTGACTCCCAACAGCAAAGCCTAAAGTCGGCAAAAGTTACCCGTGAGCGCACAAAATCAGTAAAATGTGTATACTCGTTCCAGCTTTCTCACCTTAATTCTCGTGGTACGTCGTTCGTTTTGGTATCATTGTGTTCGCAATTAAATTCCCTACAGATGTGTATGAATATAATGTACAAAAGCCTGGAGTGCCTCCCCGCAGAAAAGCCTAAAGTTACCCATGAACGAGCACCAATTTGTACATTGCAACCTAATGTGTATACTCGTTCAGTTTGATAACATCAATTTTCGTGTTACGTCTTTCATTTTGGTATCAAATTGTTCGCAATAAAAAGGCGCATATTTTAAAACTAGTCCCATAATAATAGAGCAATAACTGGAATTTTAACTAAATATTTTAATTCTGGAAGCTCATCATCACAAAATTATTTATATCTTTCCAGTGTTCTGACATAAATTTTTGTGTTACATCTTTCATTTTGGTATCAAATTGTTCGTGACGTAAAGGCGCGCATTTTAAACCTAGTCCCAACATAATAGCACAATAAATAGAATTTTAACAAATATAAAATTTTGACCAGAAACCTATTTATAATCATATAAGTGTTCGGACATCAAGTTTCATGTTACATCTTTCATTTTGGTATCAAATTGTGCGCATTCTAAAGGCGATTATTTTGATACTATTCCTAGGTCGATTGGATAAAAAATGAATTTTATACAAATATTTTTGTAGTTGACGCAAGTCCGGTCCTCGGTTAGGACTCGGGAGAAAAATAATGGACGAGAGTTCGGTCCAAAGTTACCGATAGTGTTAAGCCTACAGTGACAGATCATAGTTCTAGGGTATCACAAAAGTTTATGACCGCACATAGGAAAGATAAAATATAGTGCTACCAATAGAACTTTGTGTTAAACAGTGAACATTCGCCAGCACAGGCCACGTGGGAGGGCCACGAGGCTTTGTTTACATATTGGTACCAAGGAATATTTGGGCTATAGTGAACAGTGGTACAGTAAAGTAGTGAACTGTAACACAACAGACATAATGATACAGTGACTGACTCCATTGTATTAGATAGAGAAGAACTGCTGTCATAAATCTACTGGCACTTAGTGCAACACCACGTGCGAGGGATGAGGATCACCTCGTCATCCAGACATCTCTATTATTCACCTAGTTGTGTGAGCGGGAGGCTGACTGGTATGTACCCCTCTGGGTAATTATTCTGGTGTACAGATTGAGGTAAAATATTATCAAATTCTTGTACAGTATACCATATATATTTAAAATCTTGAAGTGGCTCATTCCGGGTAGGGGTTGACACTTAAGGGGTCCTCGTGACACACACACGTGTGTGTGAGTACACACTTTTTCTTTCTGACTGATAGAAAAATGAGGGCAGTAATCAGAGGCAATATATCGGACTGGAGAAATGTCACAAGTGGAGTACCACAGGGTTCAGTTCTTGCACCAGTGATGTTTATTGTCTACATAAATGATCTACCTGTTGGTATAAAGAATTATATGAACATGTTTGCTGATGATGCTAAGATAATAGGAAATATAAGAAACTTAGATGATTGTCATGCCCTTCAAGATGACCTGGACAAAATAAGTATATGGAGCACCACTTGGCAAATGGAATTTAATGTTAATAAATGCCATGTTATGGAATGTGGAATAGGAGAATATAGACCCCACACAACCTATATATTATGTGAGAAATCTTTAAAGAATTCTGATAAAGAAAGAGATCTAGGGGTTATCTTATCTTGAGGTTATCTTGAGTTAATTTCGGGGCTTTTTTTAGTGTCCCCGCGGCCCGGTCCTTGACCAGGCCTCCACCCCCAGGAAGCAGCCCGTGACAGCTGACTAACTCCCGGGTACCTATTTACTGCTAGGTAACAGGGGCATAGGGTGAAAGAAACTCTGCCCATCGTTTCTCGCTGGCGCCCGGGATCGAACCCGGGACCACAGGATCACAAGTCCAGTGTGCTGTCCGCTCGGCTGACCAGCTCCCTAACTGAAAAAGTTTTCACACTTCCTGTTTGTGGCAGGAAGGCCCTTGGGAGTGGGTAACATTACATAATATGCCATTTGATATTAGTATGAACCAATCATACAAGTGGTTGGGCACCATTCATTTTCCCCATCCCAGCCTAAATCCTTATTCCTTCTGTGTGTTAGTCTTAATCAATTGGCACTTTCTCCTGATAGTTCCCTTCCTTTCACGCATTATTTCAGATTGTATTATGATTATATAAGGAGTGGTTCTAGATAGAAAACTATCACCTGAGGACCACTTAAAAAATATTGTGCGAGGAGCCTATGCCACGCTTTCTAACTTCAGAATTGCTTTTAAATACATGGATGGCGATATACTAAAGAAATTGTTCACGACTTTTGTTAGGCCAAAGCTAGAATATGCAGCAGTTATGTGGTGCCCATATCTTAAGAAGCACATCAACAAACTGGAAAAGGTGCAAAGACATGCTACTAAGTGGCTCCCAGAACTGAAGGGCAAGAGCTACGAGGAGAGGTTGGAGGCATTAAATATGCCAAAACTAGAAGACAGAAGAAAAAGAGGTGATATGATCACTACATACAAAATAGTAACAGGAATTGATAAAATCGATAGGGAAGATTTCCTGAGACCTGGAACTTTAAGAACAAGAGGTTATAGATATAAACTAGCTAAACACAGATGCCGAAAAAATATAAGAAAATTCACTTTCGCAAACAGAGTGGTAGACGGTTGGAACAAGTTAGGGGAGAAGGTGGTGGAGGTCAAGACCGTCAGTAGTTTCAAAGCGTTATATGACAAAGAGTGCTGGGAAGACGGGACACCACGAGTGTAGCTCTCATCCTGTAACTACACTTAGGTAATTACACTTAGGTAATTACCACACGGGGGTTTCTATAGGCCATTGCTCCCCATGCCTCTCTGAGGGGGCCGGGTTCTGGCTCGTGGTCCCCGGTAGGCCCACAGAACTCCATACACATGACTGATGCCAAAGTCTGACATTAGCATATCAGCTTGGATATGCTCCGGGGAGCCTCCGGGTTTCACCCAGAAAATGGCGTTTCATTACATTCAATGCTGGTTTTTTTAGTATGTCATAGATAACACCAGCACGTAGACTCATGGTACACAAAAGTCTCTAGCCTACACATTATGAGTGAAGCAACTAAACTGAAGGGAAAATAAATCTAACCACTGATTGCAGTCCATACGAAATGCATCAATCATAAATGCCTTAGAATCCAGAAATGGTACCACATACTAGAAGCTGCCTATTTCACACAGGCAAACAGATCCACATGTCAATGGTGAAACATCTCAGAAAGCCAGAGGAAGGAGGCCCTCCACCATGTCGAGATAGGATGGAAATGAGAGACCGTCCACAAGAATTTTAGAAATATCCCAAATCTCATGAACAATGCAAAGGACTAAATTTGGATGAGCCAGAAATGAGGATATTCCCACAGGGAGAGGGGAATAAATTAGAGCCTCACCTACTCCCCTGCTAAAGTGCCATCCACATCACTGCAAACTCCTGCACCGTTATCTAGTTGCAGCAAAATAACACCCACTGGAGAAAGTTGTCGAGTGCTTTCAGCCAGACTATCCCAGCAGGTACACCATGCAGGTGAAGTTGAGGCTGTTCAATAGGCACTCGACAGAAAAGCAAAGACTTTCCACATGATGGTGAGAAGTAGAGCCACATGCAGCCCGACATGAGAGAAAGGCAGGCTTTCCTGGTATCCCAGACTAGACTCGGCCAAGTCTAAACCTGAGAAGGAAATAACTGGGACTTCCACCAGACAACCAGAAAGCACAGCAGGTAAACTTGGTTAAGAATCAGATCCCTGGCTAGCAGACATGCTTGATGACTGGGAGCCTAAACCAACCAAATATCAAGTTTGGCCAGAATGTGGATTCGAAGAAGACAATTATGGTAGAGGACCACATGAGTCATTCTGATGAAGATTCTGGGAGCCAGGTTTAGACCAAATGGCATGTTTACTTGAGATGCCGCACTCTGAATCCCAATTCATTCCTGAATGAGAGATGGTTGGGGACATATCAAGAAGCATCAAAGAGATCCAGGGAAATGAGCCAAGAAACACTTGAAATCACCTGACCAACCTGAGACAGAGGGGTCATCTAGAATATGAACAAAGAATGGAGCCATTTTGAACTGACAGGTCCGGGATAAAGCAAGGTTTTAGTGTTTGCAATATGGAAATTTCTGGCATTCTATTCCATTCACCTGGGCTGTATGGGTCTCGAACCGTGGCCCAAGTGGTTTTGTTAAATTTCTGGTAACCTTTCAAATTACCAGAACAAATGATATGCAAGTATTGTTGTTTCCTTTATACAGCTACTATATTTACTTCTACAGGTTTGTACAGCTACTTTGTACTGATTTGTACAGCTATTGTATTTGTATGTAGATCAATCATATGTAGATGTTTATAGACTTTGTATGTTCATGTTATTTATTTATTTATTTATTTATTTATGCATATACAAGAAGGTACATTGGGAATGTGAGGATACATAATATGGTAATTACAGTCTTGTAAAGCCACTAGTACGCGCAGCGTTTCGGGCAGGATTAATTAACAGGATGTTGATTAACTATAATCCATACACTGTGCCAATTTTTTTGGGCATATGTGTGTACTCAAGAACATTAATTTCAGAACATTTAAACACAAAACTGAGTTACAGTTCCAAAGATAACTTTGGAAATGTTAAGAGTATCAGAACATTTTGGCCATTGCACAAAGGGGCAGAACATTTAGGTGCTGGTGTGCGCCACACACGAGGGAAGACTAGTAGAGTTAAGAGCCATGGTGTGTTACAAAATTTAAACTATGGTTGATGGCCCAAGTGGTTATATTGTAGTTTGGAGGGGTCCTTTGCATCTGAAGCAAATCATCGTCACTACAAAAATTGATTAAATAATCCAACATATAATGCTGGAAGGAAAAAAGACGATGCCATTAATATCAACGATAAACAAAGTACAACAGTTCCGCACTCATACCAGATGCACGGGTGGAGTACAGTAACATTTGTACTTGGTATGAAGAGTACCTGTAAGCTTGATATTTCATCAAGTCCTTCATTTTGCAATCATACTTTATTTCACCAAACCGAATTTTGATAAATACAAAAATGTAATACAGTAGTTTGTTAGGGCAGGTGCATCTCCGCCATATTATTGAACCGAGTCAAATTTAATATTTGTATAGATTTATCATAACTGAATATGAATGATGTGTCAGTTTGGATCATCAAGTGCCTTAATTATTATTACAGAGTGACAGTGGCCTCGCTGGATGAGCAGAAGCAGGTCGTCTATACCAAAACAACAGGAGTACAGGCAGTCTCTTTGGCCAAGAATGAAGAGGTAAGAAATTTATGGAAAAAAGTCAAATACATTATATTGTAACCGTTCTGGCATAACGAACCAGACGAGACCATCAACCAGGGCCCCCATGTTGATGGTCTGGCCAACCAGGCCCCCATGTTGATGGTCTGGCCAACCAGGGCCCCCATGTTGATGGTCTGGCCAACCAGGGCCCCCATGTTGATGGTCTGGCCAACCAGGGCCCCCATGTTGATGGTCTGGCCAACCAGGGCCCCCATGTTGATGGTCTGGCCAACCAGGGCCCCCATGTTGATGGTCTGGCCAACCAGGCCCCCATGTTGATGGTCTGGCCAACCAGGGCCCCCATGTTGATGGTCTGGCCAACCAGGGCCCCCATGTTGGTCTGGCCAACCAGTCCCCCATGTTGATGGTCTGGCCAACCAGGCCCCCATGTTGATGGTCTGGCCAACCAGGTTGTTGGATGCGGCTGCTTGCAGCTGGATGTATAAATCACAGCCTGGTTGATCAGGTATCCTTTGGATGTGTTTATTGAGTTTTCTCTTGAATACTGTGAGGGGTTTTCTTTTGAACACTTTATGCATAATGGAAGTGTGTTGAACAGTCTCGGGCCTCTGATGTTGATGTTCTCTCCCAGAGTACCTATTGCACCTATACTTTTCAACAGGGTATTCTGCACATCCTGCCATGCCTTCTGGTTTTGTGTGATGTTATTTCTGTGTGCAGATTTAGGACTAGCTCCTCTCAAATTTTCAATGTGTAAATAAATCATTATGCCTTTCTCCTGCCTGCGCTTTAGAGAATATAGATTTAGGCATTTTAATCGGTACCAATAATTTAGATGTTTTATTGAGTTTATTTTTCTGTGGGGAGCCCCTACGGCTCCCGGGAGCTTATCGGGCTAATGTATGTTATATTAGACCGGGACATTAGCTAAGGAGCTCAGACCTACCAGGGACCAGCGCCAGAACCTGACCCCTTCAGAGAGGTTTCAGGGAGCAATGGCCCTGGAAAACCCCCTTGTGGTTGGGGTTTTCCTTATCTGCCATCGACCGGGGTTAGCACCCAGAAAGGTAGGCATAACAAAACAAACCCCACATGGTAAAAAACTAAAACAAAACACCGAACAGAGAGGTAGAAACTCCCTACAATCCCAAGGAAACAAGCAAACATCACACTTTATTGCCGCGCTGATCGTCCGCGAATCCCTCCATGCCCCAAGAGGGGGAGTGGGGAACCCCGGACCTACCGCGCCGGCTGCCTAGCATCAGTTCGTAAGCTAATGTCAACCGGGATAGACGCTTCTCTGGTCTCAGTTTCCTAGGCAGTGTTTGTCTTGTGTGGCGTTTACTGCCGTGTTGTGTTGTGCGGTGGCCAGGAGTACCTCATCAGTGCCAGGGCTGCATGCGCTTAGGGGCTTCCTTCCCTAAGCACCCTGTGAGTACTGCCCCTGCGTGACAGGGTTATCTTCCCTGGGGCGTTCGGGAACCATTCCCGTAGAGGTTCTTGCTGCTCGGCAATTGCCTCGCCCTTGGGGCTCTTGTTTGGCCCTGGGAAGGGACTGGTATTGTGCTGGTTAGTGCGTCAAGATGTTGCGCGACCTGCCACCTAAGCGGCGACCAGTTCCTGTTGCCTCTGGAGACGGTGTACTTTTGCGGGGTTTTTCTTTTGTTTTTATTTTCATTTGCCTGGTGGGGGTCTGCCTAGTGTGGCTATAGTTCCACTCGTAGTGTTTGGTGGCCCTCTGCTAGGCCCCCGTGATTGTACACGTCGCAGGGGTTTTCAGTGTTGTCCTCTACCCCCCTTGTTATTTTTGGGTGTTTAACCGGTTAGCAACACCTTGCCCGGGCTTCCCGTATTTGTTACCCCTACAGGCCCTGGAAACCCCTGTCGGGGCTTGGTGGACCATTGAATGTGTCTTCGGGGTTCCAACCCGTCTTGCACGGGATTGTTGGTTGCAGTAATTGCCTAAGTGTAGTTACAGGATGAGAGCTACGCTTGTGGTGTCCCGTCTTCCCAGCACTCTTTGTCATGTAATGCTTTGAAACTACTGACGGTCTTGGCCTCCACCACCTTCTCACCTAACTTGTTCCAACCGTCTACCACTCTGTTTGCGAAAGTGAATTTTCTTATATTTCTTCGGCATCTGTGTTTAGCTAGTTTAAATCTATGACCTCTTGTTCTTAAAGTTCCATGTCTCAGGAAATCTTCCCTATCGATTTTATCAATTCCTGTTACTATTTTGTATGTAGTGATCATATCACCTCTTTTTCTTCTAGTTTTGGCATATTTAATGCCTCTAACCTCTCCTCGTAGCTCTTGCCCTTCAGTTCTGGGAGCCACTTAGTAGCATGTCTTTGCACCCTTTACAGTTTGTTGATGTGCTTCTTAAGATATGGGCACCAAACAACCGCTGCATATTCTAGCTTTGGCCTTACAAAAGTCGTGAACAATTTCTTTAACCCTTAACATGCTCAGGGTTACATATCCTGTCATCCCCACAGGCGCATGTCATTTTGAAAATAAAAAAATTATCTTTTCTTCCTAACCTGTTAATTTGTGTTCACTGATCACGGGAAAAATAATAATAAAATCGTAAGTGGCATATATTGCCCGCTATAGGGCGGGGAAGTCTGGCAAATTATAGGCGCTGACTCAGCGTGCGTCCCAGGCGGTCTGTTGCTCGCCAGCTGTCAGGCCGGAGTTGCCACAAAGAGATAATTACCTAATTATTTCAATGTCTCTGATTTTTCATAGTTTTTTTGCTGTAATATTATTCAATAGTGTGTAGTTTGATATATTTATATAATAAAATGAGTGAATCATTGCAGTACTCAAAAATATGGTGTGCATATTGTTGATTCAATTATGTTCATCAATCAGTGAAGAAATACTTTGTCGGTTATTACACTATAAGCACAAGGTTATATAGTATCTGCATGTTTTGTTCACTGTAATGAACCACTAAGTAGCTATTATGAGTCAAAAAGTAACGAGTGACCGCCGTGTACTAGCCAGCCACTCCCGCCCTCCCTCCAGTCATCTGACTCACCCACATTCTCCTCCCACAATACTGTTTTTGCTATAATTCACTATATACAGACGTTATATATAAGTATCTCCATGTTTTGTTCACCATAACTGTACATCTAAGCTTGTATGGTGAGTAAAGGCACAAAGACGTAGGACCTCACACAGCCAGCTGATGACTGCCGCCCTCAAGGCCAGACGCACTAATATTTCTCCTCCAACAATACTGTGTGGTGTTATTACGCTATATACACACATTATATATAAATATCTACCTGTTTTATTCACCATACTTGTACAAATAAACTGGTATGGTGCCCAAAGACCATCATGGTAACCAGTAAACAACACCGTCGTCTGCACGGTGGCGTCGTGCAGACGACGCCACCGCCCTCGCCAAAATGGCGGCTCCAAACCTTCTCTTGCTGTTTATACCCTCTATACACACGTTATATATATCTACATTTGTGTTCACCATAGCGAATCACTAAGCTGGTATGGTGAGTGCAGTCAATAAAAGGTGGCCACACACAGTCAGAAGACATCGCCACCACCCTCCCTCCCACAGCATTACTCCTCCCTCCATGGCGCACAGTACTAAATATCACCACAATCCTGCTATTATCAGAACCCTGGTCAGTTTTATCACAGTCAGGGGTCTTCTGTAATAATATCAGCGCTACATAATAACATGAACAAGTATACGTTGGCATTTTTAGGCGATGCTGTGGTCACAAGCTGAACAGCAGAGCTGTTAGCTCATGCTGCGTGCGTCAGGCTTGGTTGCTCACTCAATACTGAGGCCAATAACACCTGGGAGTTTGGCCCACGATTTTTTTTAAAAATGGCGACTGTTTACAAGAGCCCCGATGAAGGTGTGGTGAACCCTGTGTATCCGTGGGCCGTTTAAATCTTGCGTAGTACTCCAACACATCATATGACGTGATGCGCAGTTGACTGGAACAACGTCCAACACGTCATATGACGTGATGCGCACTTTAAGGGTTAAAAGGAATGGGAATTTCTGGTACCCTTGGGGAATGGGGATGTTTGGAATAAATACCTTGAAATTCCTATTCCTTTTAAGGGTCTGAGTTTGGTGTAGTGGGTTAACACTTTCGCCCGGGGATGACGCAGCACTGCGTCATCCGTTTACTGTCGGTAATGCCGGGGATGACGCAGCATTGCGTCATCCACTTTAAATAATCGCCAAAAATCAGGTTTTTATCCGATTTTTGGGGGACTGGTTTTAAAATGCACGCCGATGTCTTCCCATTTTCTTTGTTGAGTCTCGTGGCCCTCAGGCGGCTTGGCACACGCCGTGGGCCCATTGTTTTCGCTCCACTGTTGTGACCAATGTCGCCTCCCCTCGCATCTCAAACGTGTGAACATTTCGGCTATTTTCCGTGGCAATATTTCTTACTGCGGCTTTAGAAACTATCTACGCTTACTCCACGATGGATAGTGATCATGAACAAGGCCCTTCCAGGAAGAAAATTGCGAAAGAAAGGCGGGAATTGGGAGTGTAGCTGGAAGGCGTCCGAGCGCTCACTTGCGGCTAACGCGTGGCCCATCTTCAACTCGTCGGCGGTTGGAGCGTGACCAGGTTTTTTATTTTATATGCTAATGTTCCTCCAGAGAATTCTATTGCGAACCCATTGAGACCAAAATGAAAGACCTAGGACAAAAATTGAGGTGACCAGAGTGAAAATAGTGAAAACATTTTATCGTGTTTGTGCGCTCCTGGGTAACTCGTTCGCACTTTCTCTGTTTGCTGCGGGTAATTAGCCGGGCTTTTGGAGTTTATATGCATTTAGTGCTGTAGAGAATTCTATTGCGAACACAATGATACAAAATTTAATCTCGTAGGACGAGAATTAAGGTGACAAAGTTGAAGAGAGTATACACTTTTCAGAATTTACGCGCGCTCCCGTGACACCCTGGGTCCCATATCGCACAGTTGAGGGGTGGCGCGCGGGGTACGCCAAAGT